AGAAAACTGAACACTAATATGATGAACTGAGAAAAACTGAAAAAAATAGAAAAATGTATGCCAACACTTAACAGTGCATCGGAAATTCTAAACATCTGCTGCTAAGCTGCTTTTAAAATTTTTGTAATTTTGCTGTTTAATTTATATCTGGTGTAAGTGCAAAGAAAATGAGGCTTTATGAAAAAGCTGAAAAGACAAAAATATATGGTTTATCAGGAGTGACTGCAACAGCTGCAAGCTTAATGAGAGTGTTGAAAACCTTAAGAAATCATTTTGGGCGATCTTAAAATATGAAATGTTTCAGATTTTTATGCTTTATGCAATCCAAAAATTACTTTTTATTCGAATAATTTTAACTAGTTTATTTAATTTTACTTTTGAAACATCCACTTTTAAATTCAAGAGTCTATTTGTACTTTATATTTTTGGGGATTATTTCACGTAACCTTTAAGTGCCTATACATCAATACAACAAATTTAAATATTTAGAATTATTTCAAGATAAAAGTTATGAATCAAAAGAAACTTTCAGTTTAAATTCTTAGAATATCATATCAGTTTTTGATTTATATTAATTACTTTGTACACAACTGCTCCATTTTTCTTTTTATTTCTTCAAATTGATAGAATATTCAAAACATACTCTTCTTCCAGGCTGTTACATGTTTAAAACGTGCTGTTACAAACTATTGCACTTTTGAAAATTTGCTACTTCACTTACTTAGCTTATAGTGCTTTTTGCAATCAGATCACTTTATCAAGGTCTCCCAATAGGATCAGTATTGACCACCTGGGAATGGTTGAAATTTTATAGGGGGTCAATAATGACCTGGGCATCAACAGCCAAATACATAAGTGACAATCTGCGTAGTGAAGATTCCATTGATAATAAAAGTGTACATAAATGCCAAGTTTTGGATTTTAAAAGTCTTACGAGAGAAATATTCCCAAAATAAAAATTGTTACCCAGCTAATATTGTCTTTTCCCCCTTCTCATTTAGTATAAGTAGGCTTAAGTCAAGTCGGTGATTTACAATGGGAAAAAAGGGAGGTTGTGCATTTCTGAAGGAGGTGATTTGAGAATTAAGCAATTTTATGTCAAATGTTAGAAAAATTACAAAATGTCAAATGTTAGAATAGTTTATAATCTGTGGTTTTGTTTTTGAAAACTTGTTTATATATCTAAAGTTAAAATTAAAAATAATACAAAAATAAAAAAACAAACCTTTCTTAAATTTTTATTCATAATTTTAGTCTAATTTTTATTATTAAATTATTTATGCATATTTGTAGGTCACTGGAAAAATGCCCACAGGAAAAATGTTCACAGAATAATGCTCACAGGAAAAAAGCCCACACAGAAGTATGGCCACATAGAAAAAAGCTCACATGGAAAAATGATCACTTAGAAATATGCTCACATGGAAAAAAGCTCACATAGATATAGATATATGCTCACATGGAAATAAGCCCACTGATAAATAAAATACGTAGAAATATCCTACATTAATCAATCAATAATAATCGATATAACATTGCATACCTACTTGAATTTTTCAAAGAAAAATTATTTAAATTACCAAAACATCTATAGTATATACAGCAATTGTGCAAGTAGTAGTAACTTGCTTTCGCACTAAATGAATTTAAGATCATACAACATATATATATATATATATCAAAAACAATATAACTTATGAGTAGATTTAGTTGCTACATAAGGATTAACAAATGGGCCATTTTGAATTAGGAAAAATAGAGGAGGAAGAAAGAAAAAATGAAACAGAATATACAGCGAAAAATTATTACAATTTTAATTGTTAAAAAAATAAAATAATAGTAAGTATAAGTTACACAATTTTATAATATAAACCATTTAGAAGAATATGAGCAAATAGAAATAATTATTTTATTTAAATTACGTAAGCTACCTTGTTGTATAAATCATAAATATTGTACATTTCACATAAACTTAATTTAAGGTATTTCTCCCGCCTTCTAAGCATGCCTTCATGGTGACGTGGTGGTCTGCACGCTGGGCGCGTATTCCAGAGATCCGTGGCTTCGAATTTCCGGCGAAGGCATTTGCTCATTTCTCATATCTGCCTGCTTCCAAAATACCTAATGGTCTCTACAGTGGCGGCCGAGGGTATTAGCTAATAGATGTAAATATCTAATTTATCATGGATTTCATCATAGTTTCTTACATGATTTGCGATTACCAAATGTAAGTTTTCATATTTTCTTTTTACTTCAGTATGCTCTGTATTTAGAACAGCTAGTAATAAACGTTGACAGGTTTAATCTTTTTCAGTTCGTCAAACAAAAACCACATACTAGGATGGCTACAATTAAATAATGAATTTAGTACCTTATGAAAGCTTTCATAATAATTTGTTGTTTTAGGAGATTTTTCGAAAGCTGCTTCATAATGATTCCACACTTCAATTGGAAACTATATCTAACTATACTGTGGTCTTCTAGAACATTTCCGCTCCAAACTTAAATAACTATATTCAAATATTAATTTCTATAGATACACATCAAAAGTATGCAAAAATAGAGTAAATAAAAAACAAAAATAAACTATTGGCAGTTACAGGGAAAAAAATGTTGTACAGGGGGCAGTGGTATAAAAATATTACAGTACATGAAAAATTTTACTATAATTTTCATTCTTCTATATACTGCCTCTGAAAAGGTTAATATGAGCATTTGTCCAATAACTTTTTCAAATCATCAAATAATTTTTCTTTAAAAAATTCACGTAGGTGTTCAAATTGATTAATTATTGATTGATTATTGATTGATTAATGTAAGGATATTTCTATGTATTTTACTTATCAGTGGGCTTATTTCCATGTGAGCATATATCTATATATCTATGTGAGCTTTTTTCCGTGTGAGCATATTTCTAGGTGAGCATTTTTCCATGCGAGTATTTTTCTATGTGGGCTTTTATCCTGTGAGCATATTCCTGTGGGTTTTTTTTCCTAAAACCTTATTTGTATTATGATTATGTTGTATGCTGTATAGAGAAAAATGTAAGGGGTTCAGTGGAGAAAATTGTTCATGTAATAAAAAGCTTGGGAACACCTGATCTATAATAAGCAAAATTTTCCAAGACTTAGTTTCCTCTTTTTTTTTAGCTGAATTTAGTAGGGGTACTCTTATTTTTAAATTTAATGTTATATATCATAAATTTTGAAAACATTTTTGGTACTTCTTCAGGGAAGTTAAAGCAGTCACCATTCTTTAAAAAAGCTTCAGAGCTGAATTCTTCATTCACAAAGTCATGATGAGCTTCTCAGACACAGAATAATAGGAACTGCATATACTCCATGTCTTTATAAAGTCTAATATGTGATGCATAAGTGATGTCTTTTAATTAGCCTATTATGACAACGTGCTACCTCAAATTTTCATTGCTTCACGTATATTCAGGTCAATTTTCAGGTCATTCTGACCTGTGGTTCATTTCTTACAGACTTTTGAAAGTTGAACATAATTATAATCACCCTGTACATGAGAAGTATCAGCCTAAAGGAAGGGATGTTTTCATGCAGGACTTAGAGAAAAACTGATTCCGGAAACAACCTCCACAAAAGAACCAAATTGTCTGGAATCATGGATAATTGTCTTATTGCTAATTTTATATGCAAATTATCTATGTAGATAGATGCTATCCAAATGTCTTTTGGTTGCTTTTGCTAATTATACCAAGTGAAGTAATTTTATAAATGGTAGAAATGTGCAAAAACTTATATAAAAGCTTATCACAAAAGGATGCTACTTAATGTGATCACTGCTAATGTTATCTATCATATGGATATTGTTACTGCATTGCCGAAGTCCCGTCCGTTTGCATATGAAAGCATGGAAAATGAATCCCTTATTGTAATAAAAATAAATTCCGTTAATATGATCAAAATACTATACAATAAATTATTTTATTCTGAAGTAAATTAGCCAAGTAAGTTCAAAATTGAAAATTAAAATTACAAAGTGGTAGGGAATGATTCCAAATAAGAAATCAAGTAGCCAAACAGCTTAGTTTTGAGTTTAGTGGATAATTTCAAATTAGGCAAAAAAGCAAGGCTTGTAGCAGAGCTGGTGCTTATGAACCAGACAGCAGAATTTAGAAACTGCAGAGTTTACACTGGGTGGCAAAACCCCTGACACCAGCCCTGCAAGAAAACAATGTAAACTGGCATAGATTTACAATATCAATTTGAGAGCAATCAGACACAAAGCCCTCTTCCAATTTTTTTTTTATACTGAAATAAAAATTACCAGACAAAATCTATGCAAAACTAAGGTTACATTTTTTTTTTGCCAAATTTTAAATTTTACATTGGGGACTCTTCTTCCGATGAGGGATGCTCTTCAAGTGTTAAGATTAGGGATACAGCATCAGTCGAATAATATCCAGAAATCTTAAGAACAGTTCACAAAAAACTTGCCTTTTTCTAATTAAAACGCTGCAAAATACCTATTTATACGTTTCAAGTTATATTTAGTATATTAAATTAGTTAAATTTTCTAGCTATGTTGAAGAATTTCTTTGTCCCTCATCATTTAATGTTACCAATCAGTTAACATTACCAAAACAGGCGTGGACATATGCTCGTCACATTAAGCAGTGTCCAATGTCAATCTCAATATGAAAATATCTCAATATGAAATGAAATTCTAAAATACAAAGATTTTAAAAGCAGTTCTGTCACCTTTTTTTTCTTCAAATATTTAACAGTTGCATGTTATAACATTTTTGAAATATTTACTTGGTCGAAAAAAAAAATGGCTACACGATGTTAATAGCATTTACTAACTTTGTCTATTAAAACATTAAAAGTAAGGGTCATGCATTTCAGTAAATGGTGCAGTAGGGATTCAGCTCAATTTGCATTATTATTTTAAACCCAGATTTATATGTATAATGTTTCTCATGAAATCGGAAACTAAAAATATAGTTAAAAAGGTAAGACAAGAAGACTTACATGGGTGCACTCGTGATAGCACTATTCCATTCAACAAGCTTGCCTCCAACTTCCTTGATTCTTGAAATAAAATTATATAAAAATTATTCAAAACCAATTAAAAGAAACTTTTTTCTTGTACACTTAAAACACTAATAAAAGCATTAATAAGCTAGAGATAGTTCCCTCCTCTTATTTATAACATTTTTACTTTACCTTTTCCTTAGAAGAAACTGCTATACATTTTACACACACATCGCACATGCACATACAAAAGGGGGGGGGACACGAAAAAAGAAAAATCTTGGTAATCTTTAAAATGGTCACATTTCGAAAATTACCTTTATAATGACAATTAGTCCCTTTGTTTCTTGTCAAATGTATTTTTTAAATCAATAATGACAGAAGAACTGCAATAAACCTACACGGATGAAGCTACAGCAAAATAATCAGTGGTAAAGTTACCATTAAGAGAGGGAAGGGAGAAAAATTTTACACAGCACAGGTAAGGTAAGCCTTCAAAGCTTAGGAAGGTAACTTCATTGCAATATTGAGGTGAACTCAGCAAAGAACACTACAGTTGTCAGCTCATAACAAATAATGCCTTTGTTGGTTGGTTGGTAACGGAGGACGGGGACGCCTGATGTCTAACAGAGGTAAACAGGCATGTGTCCCGCGCCCTCCACTAACCAGGAACAACTCCCTGGGGCCTCAAGAGGCCGCCTCGGGAGCTTTTTAGGATGTTAACAAGATCATTTACATGGCCATACAAGGGCAGATTGCATTCGTTTTACCATTTTGACATTTGTTGTTGCAATTTGCTATGGTAATTTTGCACATTCACAATAAAATTCTAATAAAAATACAAATTAAATATACAGATACAAAAATACAGTTACAAAATAATAGGATCAAAATACAGGCTCATAGGGGAAAAAAAAAAATAAATAATAAATAAAATAAAATAAATAAAAATAAAAAAAAATTAAGTATTATGCATATACAGAAGAGGAAATGTTAAATACATTTGATTGTACATTATTTGAAAGGTGTCTGTAATAGGGACTTATGTAAATTTTAGGAGTAGACTTATGTGTCTGAGAATGTGGAACTGCATGCTGACTTAGTTAGTGTATCATGTCTTGAGAGTTTTGGTTAATGAGGAGAGCACAAATCTTGGCCCATTCTCTTGAGCTTGTTAACAACTTTGCAAATTGTATTTACTGCCGGTTTGTGCTTTATAAGGAAGCGGTGATAAGCTTCACTATTGTTGATAGGAAGAGGGAGGTGATTTCCTGCTGTCAGATGGCATTCAAAAACATAGTGGTCTGGGGAGCCTTCCGCTCCGCAGGCGCATATGTCCGTGGTTGTTATGCCATGTCTATTGAAGTAGGTCGGGAATGGGCCGTGTCCCGTAATATAAGCCGTAAGAGGAGCTATTGCAATGTTGTGTTCAGTGCTGACTTTCGGGAGGTAGCTGTATGTACGTCTTCCAGTTGTGCAGTGCGTCCAGTCTTCCTGCCAAAGATTTAGGCCTTGACCCCGTAATAGCCCTTTGAGGTATTAAGGAGGGGCTGGGATTGTGATTTTTTCAGCTTCTGGATCAGTGGCTGCTTGCTTGGCCAGGCTATCAGCTGCTTCATTCCCCTCATTTTCTGCATGTGCCTTGATCCATGTTAAGGAGAGATGTTTCTGCGGGTTGCGCTGTAAAAGTTGTTGTAATTTGATGATCAAGGGCGAGGTGTGGTTGTGATTATCTAGTGCTAGAAGCGTTGACATACTGTCAGTGAAAATTTTCGCCCGTTCTATATTATTATTGAAAATGTAATCTACCGCGGTTATAATTGCTTGCACCTCCGTCTGGAACACACTGTTGTTTAAGTCAAGGCGTCCTTTCCATACATGGAAGACTGCTAGGAAGTTGGCCCATATTTAAATTATACATGAAGAAAAACATCAGCTAAGCCATCTAACTGCTGAAAACAGGACCCAGGGCAAACTACCAGTATTTCACCAGTTTAGTCACTGGCATGGCTGTTTTGCAACTGCTACTGTGGAAAATTTAAACCTATACTGGCAATAGGTTACTTTTATTCTGAGGCAGCAATTCCCTGCCTATTTCTAACAATGAATTATTAACACATAATTGCTAAACTCAAGTTCATAACAGACTTAGGAGCATCTTTAAACTATAATAATGTTATAAGCACTAATAAATATGAAGATAATATTAAAGAAAAATGTTTATATTGCTGATATTTAGAAAAATGAAGAGAAAGTGAAATGAAAAACACTTGTAAGATGAACATATTTACTGCACAAATTCAGAATTACTGACATTACTTGATTTCAGAATTACTGAAAGTTCTTACCATCAAAACATTTTCAGCAATGAACTAACAGCAGGATTTAATTTCAGTGCTCTAGTCTTAATCCCATTACCATGCAACCGAGTTCAAATGTTTGTGCATTTTAATTTTCATAGAATTCTTACATTTTAAGGTATTGAATGAAATTAATAACATAAGGAATCTCAACCATATTAAAGGCAGACATGGAAATTAATAAAAATCAATATTATCAAGACATTTTAATAATATTATCAGCAAAATTTAGCAAATCTTTAACAAAAATAACATTCATTGTTTAAGAAATTATTCCCACAACTCTACAAACAGCAAATGAATACTCACGCAGGCGTCTCTTGAATATTCCGTAAACTTTGTTCAACATCTTCTCGTAATTCTTTCCAAGGAGTAATGCCAAGTTTTCTTTTAACATCTTGAGCATATTTCACTTTAGCTGAGAGAACTTGTCTCAGTGTAGCTATCTCTTCTTCAGTCTAGATGAGTAAAAAAAGAATTATAAAATAAAAACTGATTTTCAATAAAATATAGATATTAATAAGTTCTATTCTTACAAATAATTTAAATTAAAATTTTGTTTTAAATCTTTAAATTAATTTAGGAACATAATTTTAATAAATTATTTATGAAAATTTATGCAATATATCATTACATGATGCCAAGACTAGAACACAGCACAAAGTCTTAAATTTCTATGTCCAATATCTGGACTGATCTAACATTCAAACCTCCGAATCACCAACAATAATTTTTAAGGATTTTTTTTTTTTTTTGCAAAAAAAAAAAGGGGGGTGAATCATATTTTGAAAGTACCGTTCTTACTTTAGTCTACGCTTAATGCTTCCAGCATGCGCAGGAGACATTTTTTCATAATAAGTACTTTGAAAGCCTTGATTCTTAATTTCAATTTATCACTAAATGAAACACCTGCTTGTTGAAAAAACACAATCATTTATTAATTTAAATTTATATGATCAATAATTTATTGGCTCTATAGCTGCCTTTCTGCTTGGCATTTACCACAAACTGAAAATTATTCTATCCATTGTTGATTTTACACCTACTGAATAACTTAACATCAACCTGAGAATAATTTTTGATCATTTTTTGCTTTTACCACCATGCGAGTATCAACTCACAGAGTGATCTCTAAAACCACTTAAAAAAAAATATTAGTAATTGAATGGCAAACAGCATGGTAAACTTTTATGTTGACCTCATGCTTGGTGAGAATTCCAGACTTATCCAACCATGTTACAAATCACAGACAAGGAGAAACTTACGATAAATTTCTTTGTAAATGCAAAAAATATTTTTTATAGGCCAAAGGAGTACACTTTAGTGCTGTTTGAATTAAGAATAGCTAATTTGTTATTCAGATTTGCAGTGCAAAGCTTTGTACACAATATCACAGTTGTAAAAATTTTGCACACACATTATATATTCTGAATGATCACAAAAAATTCAAAAACTTTCAAAACATAACCAATTTTCATTATAATAACTTATATTTTAACATCATAAATTTTATTATAGTATTACTAAAATTATGTTTTTTTTTTTTTTTTTTTTTTTTTTTTTTTTTACTGTTGTTACTACATTTCTAATTTTCTTATTTTACACAAAACCAGAAGACCCCCCACAACTTTCTACAACAGAGTCGACTCGGTATGTACCTGCTGCCTGTAACTCCAGAGGAAAAGTATCTGCAAGTTTGTCATTCTAAAAGTTAGATATCATCAAACTGGTTTTTTGCATCAAAGAATGAAAGAGATTTAACGGTGTGTTCAAAAATCTAAAAGAGAAAAATAAAGTACATCACAGTGCACTTCTTTGAAGGAGAGAAGAAAAAGTGTTTTGAATCAAGGTCATTTGATCAGAGTAGCAGAATAGTGAAATATGGTTAATACTTCTTGTTCTCTTCAAGTATTTGCAATGTTTATGCATTTTCGATCATGGCGTAAAAGTAAATTAAACATTCAAAGTGTTCTGAAGTTTAACAACCCTTATTGGTGAAATGTGAAGTACCAAACAGTGTTTTGTGCTCATTTGCATTTCAGAACTCTTCTGATTCAAAGAATGGAATATCATCAAAGTTAAGATGTTGAAGAGCTAATAAGTTTTAGTTACGAAGCCAACGTTTTTTCGTCAAGTAAATTAAATTTTAAAATAACTTTGCATTTAAACGTTAATTGCATTGCTTTATGATTTATTGCTAGTAATATTTTGTTTAAATCATTTTAAGATGAAAAGTCATTAATTAAAAATTTTTATGAATAATTTATAATGTAGTTTTGTATATTTGAGTTAAAAGATACTGAATTTGATAAAAATTAAGTACAGAATTTTTAAGATTTCACTTAGAAAAAGTTCCTAATACGATTCATATTTTCGTATTATTGTTTAAATGTCTCCAAATTTATATTTTTGAATTTTTGAAATATTTTAAGAATTAAATTATTGTTTGAAAATTTTAAATTATATGAATTTCTTCAATGTTTATCTTGAAAACATTAAAGAAATAAGTGAAATTAATACAGATAAATAATATGAAATTATGGTAAATGCATGTTAAAATTTATGGGTCACTGTATGTTAAGTATAGAGTATGTTGAGAGAATACTGGTCTCAAAACAGAGGCCTGTTACAACCTCTGTACAGTTGTTCCTTTTACCCTGTTCATATAGATAATGTTGAAGTTCTCTCATTTTATGAGTGAATGTAATTTTTTTATATACTATTATACTTTTTTTAATTATGGAATGTATTAGTGCAGTTCACAAAGACCAGTTACCTTATGCAAAGAACGGAGGCCTTTCCAAGTAACTGCCTTAGCACTCCTGAGCCACTAGTGCAAAAGAAACACTGCTTAGCTCAAGAGGATAGCTCTACTGATGGAAATGTTTGTTTAGAAGTACTGTGATGCCTATCAGTTTGGTAAAATCAGGAATTGCAAATGAAAGATAATAATGGTGACCATAATTTCTGAAAATGTTACTATTATATACATGGTGTTAAAATATAATTTATCAATATGGAAATTAGTATCATAAATATTTATGTGTCTTGAATTTAATTATAAGTAATGATTATGTAAAAGTTTTTATTTGTGATACTCTGTGATAATAAAAGCCTTCCCTGAAGAATTATGATTATATGAACTCTCAAACAAAAAGTCTTTTGGACTAAAATGCTGAAAAATTTAAAAGAACTCTAAAATTAAATTTATTTTCAAAAATTGACATTCAAAATTTATACTTTATAGTTATTTAATTATGTTGATCAAAATTTTATGATTTACGTTTTTCTTCATTTGCTAGTGCTTTAATGCTTTTTATTAAAAGGCTTCTCTGTCACTACGCCTTTTTCTCCTTGAAGGGGGGAATATGTAAGAAAAATAAAGAATATGTAAATGATTAAATTAGCAGCGTAAATTAATTTTCCTTCTCTATTCTAAAAATAGTAATCTCTATTTGCACTGCATCATTTCGAGACTAAACCATGTCATATGACTCTTACATAATTATGATGATGTAAATGGAACTAAAATAGCCAATAGTAATTTAACAGCAATATTAACTATCCAATCAGAATGTATTGAGAACCTAAACTAACTCAGTCTGAATTAAGACTTCACCCTGAACATAACACACTTGCTCGCACTCTGTCTGTTTCTTTCCTGCTGCAAATTTATCTAAAATGTAAACTTTTTGGAATAGGCACAATTAATGTGCCAACTTGATTGTGGCCGCAACACGTTTACTGAAATAAAAGTTGAATTAAATATACCTTCGACTGCCAAATTTCTTACTGATTGTGAATCAGCATTTCAGACATCAAAATTCTTGCAGTTCATTATGGATTCAACCGCCTGCATTCTACTACAGAATCTATTATATATATATATATATATATATAATCCTAAAGAGAGAAATATAGCTAGACCTTTATAATTTTTGGAAGAAACATTATATTCAAATATAATTCAATTAAGTATAAAATTTAAAACCTAAATCTATCTATCTATCTCTCTCTCTATATATATAAAAAACCTCTATTATTTCCGAGATTTAACTTCTAGAAGGTTCAACAACATCAACTTTTCTCTCCCAGCTATAATGAAAAACACTGCAAACTAAGATTAAGTGAAGAAAGAACAAACCTTTGCCAGTTCATTTCTCCACTCTTCTTCAAGCTTGGCTCTTTGTTCAGGATCAGTCGCACTGAGATCATGTATTCCACTGTCAGGAGTTGCATCAAATGCTTTCTCCTCTGATGGCTCAAAATAATTATCTAGAAATATGGGGAAAAATTTTTTTTCATCATCAAAATAGCTGAAAATTAAACTTATGGTAATAAAAAACGGTCAGGTACGGTATGACATATAAAATTAATCAACCTAGAAGGGTATGATAAAAGTAAGAACTACGCAGCCTTAAAAATAGCGTCATTAAATTCATTATATAAACAAAATTGATCAAAGTGCGTTCTGGGGGCCCATCATCTTTTTTAAAGTAGAAAAAAGTAAACACATTTTAAAATATGAAAACACTATCCAACGAAATAACTTCATGATAAAGTTAACATTCAAAAATTATTTTTACCATCCTTTGAATAATTAATCAATAAGAAAATAAAACGAAAGGGGGAAAAATAGTTCTCCCTAATGGCAAAAAGAGGAATCAACAAGTGACTGACCATCAAACACAGTGCTAAAGAATGCAAAAGAGATTTTGACCACTGCAAGATAACGCAAGTCATAGAACAAAATAATTATCAAAAACACATCTCCAACAGTTTGTGGGTGGAAGTATGACAACACAGCCCGATGACACCTCCGAAAACTATGCTTTCTGATAAATCAAAGTTAGGAACTAGATTGTGACCGTTTAATTCTTAGAGGTTGAAAAAAATAAAGAGCTAACCCGATTCAAAAGTCGCTATATGAAGATAATCTTGGTAGCGTGGAGGGCACTCAAGAGACAAAGGCCGGCGGGCCGGAGCGTCCTCCTCTTCACGATGCGCCATCTCCTCTGTCGCTTCAACTCAAAATATCGATCCGCACCCCTGACGTCAGGCGCTGCGGCACCGCGACAACTATTCCAAAATGGAAGGGATTTCACGCACCATCACAGGTCACTATACCGATTCGTTATTAATCATACTAGTTCCAAGCTCAAAATCCCAACTAGTTACAAAAGGTGCACTCCGAATATTTTCCCGTGAGACGTCCAACATCAAGAAAGAACTTGCACAGCGTAATATTTAATGACAAAAAACATACATCTCTTAATCTGGTTAAATAAATAAATAACCACTAAGTATACCTGTATTATTTATACAAATAAAAGATTACTTATCCCGAAATGTTTAGGATCCCTCTTCGTATGGATAAGCATTTCTAGCTTTTAAATATAACTTAATAACATATTTATCCTTTAATAAATATTACCAGTACATATGTAATACAAATACGTAATAACAAAAATGCAGCGTGAAAATGTAGATGGTGATTACCGTTATTCAAACATAATTTTCCATAATATTACCTGAAGTAATTAATATACAGTTGAAATAGCGTAAGAGGCGACATCCACAGTATTATGGCTGGTGATAGAAACGAGAAGAGATCGCAAATAACATTTTAACTAGAAGAACACAGGCGTAAGAAGAGCGAAAAGCGTATAGTTGATATTAGATTACAAATGATGAGCTTACATATATTTCTCAGTATATAAATTACGCAGTCTAGCTTTATAATGATCGATTTAGTCGAAAATATGATTGAATTATATAAGATAATATATAAGATTTTACTTTCACATTCGCCGTTACGCAAGTACATGCCTAGACAGAAATTATTATTTCTCATTTACAGCATACAAGTTCATATTAAGATTTCAGGTATTTATAAAGTTCACAGATAAATATTTCATGAGCCTAAATTTTAATTTTTACATATTATACATAACATTTAATACAAACAAAAATTAAGATAACATATATTTACACCAAATGCTCAAGAACAAAGGAACACTAAATGAAGATCCCTGGCCGCTAAGTTTAACAAAGCGTCAAATTCTATTCTTTCAAAAAATTTATTAAAATATTACAATTTATTTTCATAAACTTTTATTGAATTATTTTTGTTAATCTATCCATCTGTAATTTGAAATGACTTATATAAATGAAAAGGCTCTGCTTGGAGCCACTGCCGCGAATATCTTTGCCTACGGCGGGAAAATCTTTCGTTCTTATTTTGTTTATAAGTCAACAAGCACAATAATAACACACCGGCAGTTTCAAAAGGACTGCACGACTACACATCTATTGAACGTTTGATCGCAGATCATGCAATTGCAGTAACAGCCATCTAGCCTAATCTTTGTCAGGTGTCATGCTTTAATAAAATAAGTTTTATACCCCTTAATTTCCAAATTAAAAAAAAAGGGGGAAACTGCAAATAAATTATGATGAAACCATTATTTAAATCCTTAAAAATCTTTGGAAGTTGGCTAAATTATTTTAGAGTTTCAATGCACTCAATTAATAAATTAAATCAGTTGAAAACCGATCACCAAATTACAAGCAGGTTTGCGATCGTTACACCATAAAAATTCGGTAAAAGCCTGGACCTGTTACATCAGTTACCAATCACAATGAAAACAGCAATACAAATTCGGAGCTCCAGAGTATATACACTGTAAGAAAGGCTGGATTAACCATCAAGCAATATAAGCATGTACTTAGGGCAACAAAGAAAAGGGGCCCACAAAAAGGTACTCAGGTATTCAGAAAAGGAGGCATCAAAATATTTTTCATTGCATGTTTTATCATGGAGTGCATGATGCAGCTAAACCAAACCGAGAGAGAGAGAGAGAGAAGAAATGAAAAAAAAAAACTGGCGTAAAAACAATACATGAGGACACCAAAATTTTTTAAGTGCTTAAGACCTCTAAAGGTCTTAATCCGGCCCTCATAAAGTTTTAGCTTATATTGAAACAACATTTCTATTTACCTTTTTCACAATTTTTTATTTTCTAAATCATTTATGAAATTGATAAATGTTTGCATCACGGCCGAATGAGGCTAGGAATTTTTTTCATTAGGTCAACACGTGCTAAACAGTTTTCTACAAAAAGATGTATCAACACTACTTTTCTTTATTCCTTTCAATAGTAGACTTGTTATTTAAAGTAAGTATAGTCAATTAAAAGTTTTTCGGAGTGTAGTATTCTGTTTCATTTTTTGTTCATTGAAACAGCTAACCTCAGAGATAAATTTCTTATGTTAGGCAACCAACGACCGAGCTTAAAACTAGGTCAGGTTAACTGATTAAGGAAAAGCAATTCTAGCGTTCTTTGGCTGCGTTTAGGTTAGGTTAGGTTACGTTAGATTAAGTTATTTAAATATGGCAAAGCTACAAGGGCCATCAGCCGAAAAGGAGGCCTTCGTGGAGGACTTTTTGACAGAAGGCCTTTTTGACAGAAATTAGCTCGTATTCACGTTACACACCGGGAAAACCACGAATACCAACCATACAGCTAGACCGTTCGCCTCGGTTTGAATCTAGGCAATGTCAAACTACCAATATTCAGTGGTCTTAACCACTCACGTATTCACGTTGCGAATTGGGAAAACCCCCAAAACTTCCATGAAGCCAGACCGTTCGCCGGGCTACAATTCGGGTAAAACTACTAATGTTTAGGGACTTACCGCTCAGCCGCTAGTGGGCCACCAGGCGCTAAGATCGCTGAACACTGATTATTCGTCCCCAGTTCATATACTGGCGAACAGGGTTGGCTACATTGGTGTTTCCGTTGTTTCCTTCCACCATACGCAACGTGAATATAAAGACGTTTCTCTTAACCTTTTGACTACTAACGGGGACATATATGTCCCACTAAAAGGTTAAAAATTACTGCTGGGTTAAAAGTACTTAGAATCTCCTGAATGTTGGGGATCATCTTCCAATACTTGGAAAATTAAGACGCCGCTGTAATCGTTGTACACAGATGAACATAGAGAAAAGAATAAATATGAGCTGCCTAATGTATAATGTTGTAACAAAATAATGTTAATAAAATTCGTAGTCAAAGAGTTAAAAAGTTCTCCGCGAAAGCATCACTCCCTTTAGGCAAACTGCCCTCGAGTGCTCTCCTGTAATCCAACAAATTCAATCTAGTTCTCATAAAAAGTTTTATCAGAGTCAAAAATAGCTAACGACGACAGTTATGTTTTCTCGCTGGAAATATTAAGTTCTCATACATATTTTTCTAGACAAAAAAAATTTCTGGCGCGTGTTGCCTTATAACGGAAAAAATCCGGGATTGGTCTAAGTGGCTAGGGGCAAACTAGTTCAACGACATCTGAAATTTAAGGATGCTTATATTAACAAAAATAATATAAAAAAAAAAAAAAAAAAAGACTAGACATTTTATTTTCTAATAATATACAATCATAAGGAACAATTTGAATGCAAATATTACAAGAATATAAACACAGTTAATTAACCTATGAAATAAAGGATATAGGATCACAAACTCGCAGTGGTTAATCGCACCGACGGTGCGAATAGTCAAGAAGCTATTCACACCACCTACGTTCGCGCATGCGCACAATCAGCCCAGGTACCAGCATTTTACGCCGATTTCCGTAAGGCAGGCGGTAGCGAGAGCGAAGGTTGTTAACCCTAACTCAGCAGTAGGGTTGTTAATAGTTCAGTAGAAAGGGTTATTAATAGTTCACCAGGAAGAGAATAATTTGCAAGTAATAATTAGCAGTTACAAAGACGAGGTCATTCTATATACATGATAATGTTCAGGAAATGATTAGATAAAATAGGGATTTAATGATGATTCTAATTGCAAGCGAGGACGTGTAATTAGTTAAAAAATCTTTAAGGTATTGACAAAAAGAAAATTTCAGAAATTACTTAAACTCTTTTATTTATCAGAGGAATTTTTATGCAAACTTAGACCCTAGTCTTATAGCATACGATTGTCAGAATTTATTATTCAATAAGAAAACTTACTGAACATTATAATATTCTTATATATTCATCACTTTTTCAGTATCCACACATGTTTATATGTTCTAAAGACATATTTAAAAATCAGAGTTATTTATGAAATAAAACCTTATAAATTTTGATAAATAATTTATGTGTGCAAATTTTTAAATCTAAATCTCTTACATTAAATTATTTTTGTCTTTTAAATTACATCCCATTATTTTTTAAATTTAATTTATTAATGTGTTTGTACTAATATTTCAATGTTCTTTGAAATACT